CCCCCCCCCCCCCCCCCCCCCCCACGGGATTTACATTGATAGGTGCATAACATCCAATAGTGTTGGGAGTTTTTGGCTAACAATGTTGTGTTCGTTTGCATCATTGTTTGATAATGACAAGAAGCCACGACAAAAGAACGTTTGTAAAGAACGTTCTTAGATGCGAATAAGCTCGGAAACAACTAGGATGGATCAAGGATATTTGACACTTTTGAATAACATAAATATTTCATCTTGGCGGTCGCAGACATTATTCTGCCCTTTCAATACAAGAAGAACAGCCAACAGCTTCTTTGGGAGTGAGGCTAATGGGATTTTGAGTGGGAAATATCTGATCAACCTCGTTTCTAGGCTACTTTCAAACTTTATTAGAAGCTGGGGGCTTTATTAGAAGCTGGGGCTTATGTTGTTGACGACAATCTTGCAGTCTACAGTCGGTAAATGTCATACACCGATCCGCTAGTCGTTGCCGCTGTTACTTTCAAACTCAAATCTGGATTCCTGCAAGCATGTAATCAGGAATAAATTTTGCATTTGGTCAGATTGGAAAATCTTCCAGACTTTGAGTGAAATAATGCCTTTGAGGACATGTATACAAAATTCACGTGACTTAGATTCAGAAAATGTTTACTACTGACCTCACCTTTGAATTCTATACCATTAACCATGCAGGAAAGCATGTGTAAAATTCTACTGTGTTGCTAACGATCGTAGCGATCATTTGGAAACCTGCAGCCTTAACTTATACTTGGTCTAGTAGTTAAGTACAGTCGGCCACGCGACCACTGAACGATTCGTCCTGTAAAATCATAGTTACTAAAACAAGGAATGACCTACAATGTCCTACAGTGAACTACAATGAGCCACTGTGAGCTACAATAGGCCTATTTACAGTTTCCAACGCCATTTTGACGAGTAGGCAAGGAAATCTTGGGGCGGTTACCAAGCATCATACAAATCTCTTAAAATTTCGGTCACGCGCTCCATTCTACAAGCAATTCTCAACGTTTTCCTTGACTTCTTCTAAATCTTCTACGGCAAGGATTTCCAGCTACAGTGGAACCCCGCCATACGACCACCCCGTTAATACGACCACCCCGCTATTACGACCACTTTTTTGTGGCCCGAACAAAAGTCCACTCATTTTCTTATCTGAAAACCCCGTTAATCCGACCACCCCGTTATTACGACCAACGACCACCTTTGGGAGTCCTGAATCGTTATTTTCTTTATAAAATTACCCCGTTAATACGACCAGTCAAAATGCTTGGTGGGGCTGCTGAATGAAAACAGACACAATCTGACAAACAATAACGCATTACTAATGTTTTATTGAATGTTTTTAGGCAAAGGTGTTAGTGGTTAACATGACATCCGGTAAATTGCAGTGTTCAGTAAAAAGGATGCACGAATAAATAATACAAGAGATCTGAAATACTTCACCGCTTTGCAGCATTTCGAGGCTCTCAAAGTTATTTTGCCTTCTTGTTTCTGCTGCCTTCCACTGTGGCTTTCCTCTTCGAGTCCATTTCCTGTTCTTTTCTCACAGATCGGTTATTTGGAATGTCTAATAATTTGTTAATACGACCACCCCGTTAATACGACTAAATTTCCATGGCCCAAAGGTAGTCGAATTAACGGGGTTCCACTGTACTTGTCGAATCGGGCACTGTTGTGTTTTCTGTGTTTGCAGCTGGTTGTTATTTGCCCGAGAAATATGTCGCGATTCGCCAACCTACAACCAAGGTACAGTAAACAGAGAATGAATAAAATTAGCCCCAGTCGGTGGCAAACCGGTTCTTACGCGCGATACAAATTTCGACAAAATTATAAACTCGCTTCGCGAGACTAAATACTTTATTTTATCGCATGGATTTTTTTAAAAGAATACAATGCATTCACGAGTTCTCCACAGTATTAACTTTGATTATTTTTATTTCAGCTGTCGGATCATCAGGATCCAGTTGTAGGAGACTGTGATGCTGTACAGGGCCCATGTCCATTCGCACAGATTGGCTGCTCAAGAACCGAGGTATGAGCGCAAATGTAAATTAATCGCTGCTGAGTGGTAAGATCACTAACTGATCCTAGAAATGAATTTTTAATCACATCTAATATGATCTTCTCAGTGTTTTGAAGAGCCTGTTCTGTTTTGTACATATAAGACCTCCGCTCAACAGAGCGACGTTCTTTCGACTGAGCTAACTGGGCGGCCAACTTTGGAGCCTGATTTGAAATCTCCCAACCGTTATCATAATTTAACCCCTGCCAGAATGAACTACCGGTAAGCGAAAACTGGTTTAAATTACGTCTTCCTATTGTTTATCTTGCGAATGTTCTGAAGCATAACGCTTATTTTATTTTCAGGCACTCATCAGTAGACAAAAGAAAGAGCACCTGGAGAGAGAATATGTTTACCACACAACATTGCTACTTCATCATGGCGTTAGGGTGGGTAGAGAAATGGAAGCACTTTTGACTCGTGATCCAAGAATCTTGTCGAGAGGCCCGCATATCTTCACAAACTATGACGGTATCATTTCTGACATGCTCGCTCGAATACAAACCAGTACAGCAGAGATCAGAGATTTACAAGAAAGAACACGAGAGCACAGCCAACGAATCACGTCTTTGGAACGTAGGCTTTCGGCATTTGCTCAAGTCTCTGGGAATTCAATTGGCAGTTCATCGAACGACGAGATAACACGAAGGGTAAGCAATCTCGAGAATTTGACTGCCGAACACGGAGCGCTTTTGGCAGGAAATGAACGTGCGATTGGGGAAACTAACAGGACTCTGCACTCTTATGAGTACACACTGGCTGATAGAAATGTCACTTTGGCCCAGCTAGAAGATAAGACCGCTGACCACGAGGTTCTGTTGGTTGAAAGTAATCGTTCAATCGAGCAGGCAAATCGGGATATGGGTAATGTAAGGCGACTGGTTGAGAATAACCAGGAGACCGTCAGAAGGGTGGAAAGAAGGATTGAGTCTATTGAGCATACACTGGCTCTGAGAAACGTCACCTTAGCTGATTTGGAGGAATACATCAGGCAACAGGAGTCTTCAAGCTACGATGGCCAGTTGCTGTGGAAAATAACTGAATTTTCACGCAGGAGAAACGAGGCAGTCAGCGGTCAACAAGTATCATTCTATAGTCCGTGCTTCTACACCGGTCGCTATGGATTCAAGATGTGTGTCCGCATTTATTTAAACGGAGATGGCATGGGCCGAGGAACACACATCTCTGTGCTCTTTGTTGTCATGCGCGGTCAGTATGACGCGTTGCTTCGCTGGCCATTCAGTCAGAAGGTCACGTTCATGTTGTTGGATCAAGATAATGGTGAAGACGTGATCGATTCGTTCAGGCCTGATCCTAACAGCTCCTCATTTCAGAGACCGACGAGGGAAACGAACATTGCAAGTGGGTGTCCGATGTTTTGCTCTCTGACCGAATTAAATAATCACGCTTATGTGCGAGATGATACAATGTTCTTAAAAATAATAGTAGACACATCTGATTTGTAGGGGGCAGTAGCGCTATCCAAAAGCTTTGGATGGTGCTATCCAACTGATACGACCCGACTGACCTGTAGGCATGATCGGGGCGTGTGTGCAGGCTCTAATTAAGCTAGGCTTTAAGGCCGAATTTCTTTGGCTATTGAGCTTTAGTCGACACATCTGATTTATAGAATCGCAGAAAGGATAAAGAGTAAGAGAACTAGTCCACCATAATCATCATTTACCAGGCCTAAAAGTGAAGATATGAAAATTTCGGAAAATACAGTGGAACTCCGATAACTCGAACTCGCATAACTCGAACTAACCCCGCTAACTCTTACTAAGTCCCATTTCCCTTGGATTTTACTCCACTTTTCAGTCATTATTCGGTTAACTCGAACTGGGATAACACGACTTCCCCGCTAACTCGAACTAGATTTCCTTTCCCGTGATCAAAAATTCACTAAAATTACCCCGATGACTCGAATTCTGGTTCCTGTAACTCCACTCGGATGCCATACCATTTGCTCTTCTTGTTATATGGTAGAGTAACAACACTAAAACTAACATTGATCAACACTAACACAGATTATAATAGGCCCAACGAACAGATTACGTCTTATCATAATCACGTTACCGTTTCTTAAATAAGTACAATTTGCACTAAACTATACACAGACGTGCTGAAGAATCAGTAACTATCAGTCTTTAAAATGGCAAATTGAATTTTTCCATCGACCCCAATAACTCAGATCGTCCCCAACTCGAACTGTTCGTTGTTTTTGTTTCCCTTCAGAGTTTGAGTCACTGGAGTTCAACTGTACTGTACTAATAACATTAAAATAAAAAAGTTATTTGATTTTACCGCTATTTTATTGCTAAGGCCCAAGTAGGGAATTACTTCTCTTACTCTGTGTACTACCACGAATTCGCTCTTTGAGGAAAGTGATCGCAAAATGATGGAAGCGAACAGAGCAGTCAACAATATGAGAAGCCAATTTGAGGGGATGCAAGGAACTATAAAGTCACTCTTGACTGTGTTTAGTATTTACGAGCTTTGTTGTGTGTCTAAAAAAACTCCCTATTAGAGCGCCTGTTTTTTTTTTTTGTTTTTTTTTTCTAACCTTACTTTGTGAAAGACGGAGTCAAGAAAACGCTTCGTCGAAATGATTTTTTTTTGTCTTTTTGTTGATAGTCGAGCATTTGTCCTTTTTTTCAACGTAGACGACAAACGAAAACGATGTTTCAATTGTCTGCAAGAAACACTTCATGGAAAGTTGTCAAAAATAACAAATTTTAATAGCAAATAAGTTTAGTTTTATAATAACAGTGATTGAATGAGGTTGAGTATGACTGTGAAGAATTTTGAATGTCGAGGATAACAGCCTCCAAGATCTACATGAATTTCCTTGTCATACAAAACCCGAATTCAATATTGTTTCATTATTCATTCAAACTAATCCTACGTTCTTAACAACCTCACCTCCTGGTAGACTTTTTGCAAAACTCTGGACTATTTCTCGGCACGGTTTCAGAATACAATCCGATGTTTTGTCTTGCAGATACTCCTTAACTGTAGATGACATCCCTCGAGCCACCATTTTTTGCCGTATTCTTGTCCCCATTCAGTTTCAGTCAGAAATTCGGCTATTTCGTCTTCAGATATAGTCGTGAACACTTCCGTCATTTTCTTGAGTTTATTCACTGCCGTCCCTCTACCTAGAAACGAGGTTGCGATTGTGGTATATTGCTGCATCTTCCAAAATTTGGTCAGTGCCAGCCGGTTATGAAAAATAAACCGGGGGTTTAAGGCCAATTGGAAACGGAGAAATAGTTTGAATGAGTAGTAATTTTCATTGTCCTTAAAGGGGTTGTGTCACGGCTGTCTGACTAGTTTATTTTGTCAATAATGCTACTTATGCGTCCTGGGGCGCGTTTCTCGAGATTGTACGTTTCTGGGAAACTTCCCACCTACCCCTCCCCTAAGCCGACATTTTGCCCAAAGCGGGAAGTAAGTGTTAATGTTGGCTTAAAGGGAGCAACTTTTTGGGTCCGAAGGCAAATTTTGAAATGAAAACCGGTTGAATAGTAGCACAGTTCCTAGATCGCAAACCGGTCAATTGTGCGTCGTTAACTGATACTTTCATTGAGTCATTTTCAAAATTATTGATCTTGAATGCAAACACGGTAAACATAAAATCGCTTTCGGGCACGAAAAGTTATCGGAACATTCGAGAAACTGACCCCTTGTTCGCTACGGAACGTAAGAAATTACTTGTGAATGACAAATTGCAGCTTCGTGTCAAACAAGTACGTCTCTCAAGCATTATATTAAACACTTACAAACATTAAGAAAATTGAATTTTGAAAAACTGTTAGGATAACAAGTTTTCAAAAACCTAAACTCGTTTTTTTCTGTGCCGCCTTATTTGTCGCGTTATTTATTTCTTTTTGGAATGGTTCGAGCAGTTGTTTTTATGTTTTACTTAATTTGATGGCAGCTCCCACTGTTCACATTTTGTCGAATTTCGTGACGCAGCTCCTTTATATGGGAGTAAAAGGGCATTGTCAGTGGTATATGTGAAAAACTTAAGTTTGTTTAATAAAATGACTAAAACAAAGTCAGTTTAGTGTTGCTGTTCACATCGATGTATTTGCATCATCTTTTGTTTTGTTTTTTTCGTTTCACTGTTATTCCCTTTGCATAACCCTTCTCCTGTTTCGATTTTCAAATGGAGGGGCGTGCCCGAAAGCTATATTTCGGGCTATGTGACTGAAATATCTAATGTCGCAAAGGTGGAAATTTCCTGGTTTAAACAGGTTCACCGCTTTTTGGGATGAAATGACCACTCAAATACTTTGAATACTTAGTTACCCACCTGAGATGTGACCCTAGCCCTTACTACTTTTGACAGTCAGTGCGAAAAAATCCACAGCTCATTCCAACAACCTCCACTAGTTCGACCAAAGCCCTGGAAAGATGGGAGGAAAAACAAGTCCATTTTCTTATGGAAAGCTACATGAAGTTCAAAGACGAAGTTGGGAAGTCACACATTACCCAACAATCAATTCTGTCGGACGGGTTCCATTTTCTCTTGGTTAGTCCTAGTGGTCTCGGACCGGTCGGTCCGGTATAATGGAAAGCACCTATAGTCAGTATGCCAGGAAAGGAAAATCTCGATTTGCTTGAACAGGGGCCGCATGGAATCGTTCAGGTAATGATGACGTTTCTATTGTTCGCGCCCGCAAGTAAGACATGGTTAGGATGACGTAAAACAGAAAATCCCGAAGGGAGCGCTCAGGTACATTTTGTGACATTTATTGTACAGTCATACTTCGATTGACGTCGATACTCTTTTGCGTTACGTGTTATCAGTGACATTCTGGGAGCAGCTGTTTTGAAAGTTATGGACCAAAAGACACTCGTTAAGCGCAGATGAAGTCTTAAGGTGCATATAACTGGGTATATTAAAACACATTTCGAGAGTTTGCCAGACACAATTTCAAAAATCTTTGATCAGGAACAATTTGCCAGACACTCTCTCTTTGAGGAATAAGACTCAGTCCACAAACAAGCAAGACCGTGAGTGAATCAACGGCTATAATAGCTTATCCCTGGCAGAACCATGGACGATTACAGAGATTCGCCTACAATTAAATTCTGTGCTGACTTATTCCCTGCTCACAGATGTTCCTTCTACAAAGTTTAAAAAAACTAGAACCCGCGAGCGTGAATTGATCAAACCTTTGAATTTCTAAGGCTTACTTTCCGGCAAATAAAATGAACTGTATGTAAGAAAGTGAAAGAGAAATGGCGAAAAATTCCAACTTCTAATTCCGAGAGAAGCGAGGCGGGAAAGCGACTTTATAATTTTGTCGCGCGGAACGCGCGAGAATCGTAAGCAGAGTGCGATTTGGCTTTGGTCATTAATCTTTCTCTCTATCGGTTTGGTATCCGCAGTTGCCTACCAACTAAGTCGCGATAGACTACGAGTAGTCCCCCATTTTTCTCAAGGATAGTAGAGGGAGCGAAACGCGAGCGCGCGTGAAAATCACCCCACGCGAGAAAGGGCGACACGCGGCGGGGAGAGAGAAAAATGATTTTTCTTTCTCCCCGCCGCGTGTCGCCTTTTCACGCGCGCTCGCTTTTCGCTCGCTCTACTATCCTTGAGGAAAAATGGGGGACTACTCGTAGTCTAAAGTCGCGATGACGTCCCTTAGCGGTTGTTAAGGTATGTCAGGTATGTAGACCCGGAAGAAGTGATTTAGCCGACTGAGCGAAGTTTCCTTTTTTAGACGCAACGAAGAGAAAGCAGAGTAATTTAAGGTGAGCGAAACTCTTTTAACAATAATGTTTACGATTCACTTAGATTAAAAAGCCTCGTTTTAAGTGGTAAAATACTGACCACTTCGTAGAACTCAGTGATGTCTCAGTACAGTGCTGGGTTTAGTTCGACAGCCGGCGTTCGTTTACCCGCCAGAGATTCAAAAGTTGAGGAGTCAGAAAAGACAACTTGGAGCTTTAACAACAACGACTGCGTAGAAGCGAAATGAAATGCCAATATTAAAGTGAATTCGGGTTTTTCCAAACTAAATTATTCCATTATTCCAAATCACTTACAATGAAAAATGTAGGCAAATTTCGCTGGAGTTGAATTCTTGGGGACCGCGCAAAAGTTTAGAAAGTGAAAGGAAAACTCATCCTCGTGTTTTCACGACCTCTAAAAATAATGTCGCTTAAGAAAAATTTCAGTCGTCGTCATGCAGGAAGGGTAAACAAAATGCGTGCTGCGTGGGCAAAATTGTTGTTCTGCTTAAAAACCTACTGCCTTTTTGTCGTTCTAGTTGCTGTCGCCGTCGTCGTTGCTGAAGCTTGATTGTCACGGCAACGACGGCGATGACAGTGACAAATAGTGGCAGCTTTAAAGTAACAATGGTACATTTACTCAGAGCGTGTGCCACACTTTTTGGCACAAAACTTTCATGGCAGTTCAACGCACATCGACAATTAGCTTGCGTAGCAGGCG